AGTAATTGATCTCGCCAAATCGTTAATGAACACCAAGAATAGATGAGGTCCAAGAACCGAGCCTTGTGGTACTCCACACATCACATCGAATGCATGAGAAAATGATTCTCGGATTCTCACCACTAGCCGCAGATCTTGTAGACAATTGCTAGTCCAACTCAGGATTGGATCGCCAATGACGTAGTTCCGAAGCTTCTGAAGGAGAATTCGATGGACTAAACGATCAAACGCTTTTGAAAAGTCAAAGTAGATGACATCGACTCCAAATCCATCATCAACAGCTTCAGTCCAGCTATTACGTGCAGTTTATAGGTTAGTATCGTACGAATGCTTTTGATGAAAACTATCTTGCTCTGGGGCTATTAAATTGTGGCTTTCCAGGTATTGCTTCAGCGCGTCTGCGATGATTGATTCCATCACTTTGGATAGTACGGGAGTTAGTGTTATTGGATGGTAGTTGGCAGGATCATTGCGGCTACTTCCTTTATGGATAGGAGTGATGATCCCTTGCTTTCATACTGGAGGAATACGGTTTTCCTGTCGATCTCGCTGATAGAAAACAGTCAGTGGTTCTGCTAGATTACTTTCTACCGCATGTTGAGCCTTTGGTCGGATGTTATCAGCTCCGGGAGAACTGTGGATACGCAAGGATAACAACTTCTTCAACACAGCTTCCACAGTGAAGATGATTTTTTTTAAACCAAATGGTGGAGTATTAGAAATAAGGAGAATGTTTGGGCTCGTTACCTGCTGGAAAGTTTGGGAGTAATGAAGCCGTAGAAGATCAGCTGCTTCCATCGCTGACCGCGTTCACCCATCAGCCGTGACTAGTGCTGGAACCTCTCGCTTTACCTTTCGAATGCCGTTAACGTTACTGTACAGGAATTTGCGGTTTGTGCAGAATCGCTTCATTAACTTTTGCTGACGCGTGACCTTGTCTCCGCGGATCAGTTTCGCGCTGAAGTTACGATGTGTCACGTATGCAGTCTAGGTCTCGGCATTTGGGCAGTCCTAGTAACTTCGCCATGCCATATCCCTCCGGGACAGACATTTACGTGTCCTGCTTCCCAGAAATGAATTACGCTTGCTTTTGGGTTGAAAGGACTTCTGTTCTGATGCTTGCACTACCAGTGTGCTATACGTACTTGTAAACGTTTCCCAGACAGCATCTGGGGGGCATTCGGTTAAGAAAGTCCAAGATATATCATTAACAAGCTTAGGCAACACATTGTAGTGCGTGACAGTATGCAATTTATCCTCCTCCTTTTCAGGGTACTCGGCATAGCATATATAATCAAAGAGTAGAGTGACATGATCACTACGACCCAGTAGTGTGCTTGTAACTATCACATCAACAATGAGTTCTTCTTTAGTTGGCACAAGATCCAGTATCGATGGCTTGTTAACAGTTCGAAATCTGGTGGGAGAGGTAACGTGGTTGTAAATGGGGTGGCTAGCAATAAGCGCTTCCAAACAGGCTTTAAACTGCATACCGTCGCTTGCTGGCGTTTCAATGCCATGCACTTTAAAGTCTCCCGCGATAAGAATGTGGGTGTAGGACTTGTTCAAAGCAAACTGGAAAACGTGGTTCAGTTTGTTGTCCATTTTCGACGTTGATTTTGTTGGGCGATAAATCACTGCTAGTAGATATGTGTGGTTGTTTCGCAACCAAAGGCAGCGCGAGAGCAATTCGGGAGCTCGGATTTCCGAGTGATCGATAACTTCACATCGGTGGTTTGTATTATAGTAAAGAATCACACCGCCATCCCTTCCGGTTCTATCTGTCCGACGCAGCGACATACCGGGTAAATTGATCTCAGAATCGGTTAGCTCAGGGTTTAACCATGTCTCTGTAATCATGACGAGGTCCCGCGGTTGTGAGGCATGGAGTTCTCTAAGTTCCGCCAACTTGCTTAGAAGGCCTTGGGCGTTTGTGTACACGCAAGATAGGGTTTTCGTTGTCAGGAGTGCGTGGACGGATGTCAACTTTGTGTTAGTACTTAAGCCGCCCGTTAAGTGGCCGGCCATTAATCGATTTTGGTTTATATATTTCAGTCGTGTTGCATGACATTATTGAGCGTTCCTGAATGGACGTTTCACTCGTGCTGTGCTCGGTCCTCCTGTGTGCCGTGAGCGCTGTTGTCTCGGTCTCTCCGAAGGACCGTGCAAATAAAGGATTTGTTACGTTAGCAAGTTCCATTGAATTGATTCTGACTTTTGGTCGTTAGCCTGCTGCTTTTAGCCGGATCTCTGTTGTCAACCAATCTCGAAACTTTGACCAGCTATCCAACAGAACTTGCGTCATTCTCTCGGAATTTAGTAGTGCTTTCATTTGTCTTGGACCGCAACCCTTGTAGTTAGGTGATGACGAAACTCATGTCAGGGATTTGGCAATCACATTGTCAACACAGAGTGCATCTCGGACGTAGCACCACTGTTCTGGATCATGTGTTTGCGCGTCGTGATCAAAAGGATGCAGAAGCTCAGGAACACCATGAAAAAATATTGTTTTCTTGCTATCCCTATTAACAATATTGCGTTGCTCCGCTGCCTCCTTTGCGCCATCTTTCCAAGGTAGGCCAGTTAAGATGCGCACTCCGCTCGGCAAGTTACGAAGACGAACTGCTGAGAGCAGGACAGCCTCTGTCTCATCTGCTAAGTTTAGTGTTACTCGAAGAAATCAAGGTTAACCAGAGTGCAATGAGGTCGGGTGACGCGCTACGCGTTGCAGCATTGCAGGCTCAACCGAATGCCATTCGCCTCGCAGACGGAAATCCATCCGTTGCGACCGCATAGCAACTTGCCCTTTATTGTGCCAGATTTAGATCCGAGGTATATCCGTCCCAGTAATCGCTCAACTAACCTAGTACCCACCCGTAAAACCCACTCTGGGTCCATTTTGTCCCGAACGAGGCAGGGCGGACAAGCCTAGACGCGGTATTCGAGATGAGGCCGAACGAAAGCTGAGAACAGACTCGCAAAGATGCCGCCCGTCAAGACTCCGAAAGAACATTCCACAAGGTGTGGAAACCACTGCTTGCTGCCTTCTTCCAGTTGTCGCCAGAGTGTAAAGCCGAAGAGTGTACGACGCCTAGATCAACTTGGCTTGATACACGGGGGAGTTCGACCCCATCAACTAAGTACTTCGCATGAGGACAACCTCCTCCGATTCGAAGAACGCAGCATTTTGCCCGCGTTATGGTCAACAACTGTAAAGTAGACCAGTCCCAAAACTTATCCAATGCTAGCTGAAGAGCTACGGAACCCCAGGAACATTGACAATGTTCCACAGCTTCAGGTCGTCAGCAAATATCAGCGCTGGTACCTCAAAAATCCGCGGGTAGGTCACTCACAGAGATAGAGAACAGCAACGGTCCAAGGACCGAGCCTTCCGGCAAGCCACTGAGTACAGACTGCCTAAACTATATACCAATGCCTACACGTACACACTGTTTTCTACCATCCAAGAAGCCGGTCACCCAATGTAGGGCGCGACCAGACACCCCGTAGGAGGTCAGCTCCTGTGCGAGCCTGAAATGGGGTACCTTGTCAAATGCCTTCGCAAAGTCGACGAAAAGCACGTCAAGTACGTGGACGTTATCTACTTCTGGTTTCCCGACATTTTGCTTATTAATAGCACCTTCTCCACCAAGCAACAGAGATGCTTTTTAAACCAAATGCTCAAAGTAGATGACTGTCGAAAATGTCTGCTGGTTACCATTGATTTTCTCTGGCTGGAGACGGAGACTGACCTCAGAACCTTCTTCCTCATATTTATGGAGTTTGTAGGTGGTGCTTCTGGTGTCAAGTGCATCATGTCCGATGGTGCACTGTCCATTGCGAACGCTGCACATAATGTCTTTCCTTCTGCCCATCATTTCTTATGTCGCATTCATATATTTAGAAATACTAACAAACTTTTCCCCAATCCTCTACATTCAGACGTTTTTACCTCGCAATGTACACGTGCAAAGTTGGGAAATATTTAGCTGATTTGGAACTTATTCGTACTAATGATCAACCTTTCTTCCATTATGTAAGTTTGTCATTCTTCCCAACGCCTGTAATGAGCCAACAGCAGGATGACTGGTGTACAACATACGGCATACACGACACGAATATGTTAGTGTTCATGCATCGCCGTTTAAAGATGGAACTACTGAATGGGCGGACTGGATTGTGGGATGCCACACAAGTATCACGGATGAGCGCGACGTATCTGATATGGAACCAATAAAAAACCATATCGGATGCAAACAGCTGCCGGATTCCACATTTCTGAACTTGGACCCTGCAGTTCTCCCTCTGTCGTCGTTGCCGGAGGGGATTGTCACGTCAAACACCGATGACGTGGTCTTCAGTGATGAATAGAATGTGGCAATTGCGAGCTCGGATGAAGAAAGCACTATACTAGCAGTTCTACCTGGTGCACAACCGACGGCCGCTGTTTAAGACGCAAGGCATGAACACCGAAACGCAACTGCTGGCGAACAAACCAACAATCCAAATTTGCAAGATTTGGTGATCGATGTAGGTATATGCGTAGAATGCGACTTACAATACCCGGAATAAAACGAGGACGAACAATACACTGGGTTCAGTGCTCGTATTGCACGCGTTGGTATCATCGATGCGGTCTTCTGCAGCCCCTCATACTAACTGTTTTCGAGCGTTTTCTCTGCGAACAGATATTTACATGTCACGGTGCATTGAGGTTGTGGTCTTTTGTAGTTCCAACATGTCAACGTCTTTTCCTGTTCTGCTAAGCTGCCTGTGCGTTAATGATATCGTTATATATCCGCCACTTTACTAATAATTTCATTGCCATATAACAATGAAGCCGAATGTAATTTCTTCTTCTATTTACGTCTACGCATAAAGCCAACCGCTCCTCAGCGTGGTGTGGTGGTGTAACCAGTTGTTAATTCGGCCAACATGGCTCTGGTGGTCTCATATGCACGAAAAATGCTAGCAATAATCCATATATACTTCCATATATACTTCCAGGGTATTAAGGGATGGGATGAAAGAAAGTATGAAGAAAAACCCCATTGTGCAGTGTACAATGATTAAAACGCTTATGATGAACTTGTACGTTTCTCCATACTGCCGTCTTGTGCAATGTACGCAAATAATACACATTGTGGCTACCATTGTATGCATTTATCCATGGGTGAAGGGTGTCGCGTTCGTTATTACACATGTTCAGTGTAAGCATGTTGCCACCGCATATACAGCCTCGTTCCATTAGAAGACGTTGTTCGCTTATGTTCAGTAGGTCAGCAGTGCGAACTAGCGTATTCCGTCGTTGCAGTTTGCAAACGTGTAACCCTACCTTGTAGCGAATGTCCTTAGGCAGCCTTCGGTTAATTGCTTTTAGCATCGGCTGCATGCTGTTGGGTGGCAATAACAAGTGTAACCATTTTCTGAACAGACCGCTCTCTTTGTACTCGGGTCATTTATAAATGATAGCTACCTACTCCCAATTGTTGGCAATTGATCGGGTCACATGGTGAGCTATAACGATTAAAAAGCAGTGCTGCATTGGAAGGGGATAGCAGTTGCAGTGGTGCCGTACTATAGGTGGTGACATGGAGGAACAGAAGGTGAGGCGGAAAGGAAAGCAGTTGGAAAACTTGTAAGCAGTGGTTGTGAAAAATTGTAATTGCCAAAATAGACGGGTTCCGAACTCAGCAATCATAATTGTTCGCAATTGACCACATCGTTTCAGAACGCACTGGCGAAAACTCCCCACGTATAACGGTTATCGCCAACAGTCGTATGGATAATATATAAGCCAAGCGACTGAGGCAGTGCATTTTTTCTTCCTAGCCTATTACGTATGCAGAACACAATAGGGAAAAATTAGCATATGTAGTAATCATTGGCAACTAGCTCATGAGAAGTATGGAAGCTAAAACAGTGAATACGGAGAGGTTATACCAAGTTCCAATTATTCGATTAAACACGTAAAATAAACGGCAGTGTGGTGCGATGGCTTAAGTCGTTGTGCACTACATGTAATTAGTTCTACTGATTTTGTGAGTGCGACGAAGTATGGAGCCTCGTATTCTTGTTTTCTATATGTGTGTTTTACTGTTTTGATGCTCTTGCGCCTGAAAGACGTGCAGATTTGATGACGGCGCTACTGAAAGTACGCACTCACAATCAGATGTACTTATTTCGTTGACAGGAAAAGCACCAGCAACGCGTTTTTCCACCGAGCAGTTTGCCGTGTACAATGGGACATTTGCGTTGTGTGCGTATTTTTCGCTACACCGAGCTGTAATTTGGGCCTAGAAACACGCAATCTATCTAACACTGCTATATCCATTGTATCAGCGTTGTGTGATTCATACTATGCGGTTAGTGCACTTTTGACTATCGTCGCATGACACAGTACGAGAAAAGATACCGGAATATCATACTAATGAGACCAGATTAATGTGAAGCCATTGTTCTTATGTATAAAACGGATTATACGCGCGAGATAAACGCGCAAACCATAGAGAAGTTCATATCTGTCGCTCAGGTGTATTAAGTTGAACAACCTGATTGCGTCGGTACCCTGTTAAGAATTGGCACAACTTCAGAGTATTGCACAATGTGCCACATAGCGTTATAGTTTTATCATAGACTATGAAGCTCTAGGTGTAACCACATTTGAGTGGTTATGTTGAAATCTACGAAAGTAGCACAGAAGATTTTGACAGTGCGTGATTTTATAAACATTGTCAATAAACGTACACCGAGTTCACCAGCATGGACAACACAACCGTGCATTTAAGAGAGTGTGATAAACCATTTCATTGAAGTTAAATCTTTGTAACTACAACGTTAAATACCATATGAAAGTGAGAACCTATGACTAAGGAAGGCCTCATTTACGACACCTTGACATTCGGCCTGTCCTCTCAGTGACACCAGCTGTTACATGCCGTATCTTATCTGCGTAATGGCTACTTTGTGTGTCTGATAAGGACACGTGTGCTTCTTTCCCAATGAAACCCCGCATATGAGAACGGGTATGCTAGAGAGAATGTTTCCGTGTACCGCACAGCCGGGGTGATTCGTGGTACCGATTTTGCGATTTATGTAGAAGGTTATCGATTCCATGTGGTTGTTTTGCTGTACACAACTTCCAGACTGACATGCGGACTTATCTATATTTCGGTGTTGAACGTCCGCAGATAATCCGTTAAATCCTGGTCGACAGTGACCTCAACTTTATCGGGCCTTGTTAGTATAATATCGTGGTGCGTTCTCTCGCACCATCATCACACTAAGCGGATGCAAGGGAAATATCAGTGCAACGGAGCGTATATGTTGCTGCGCCCAACTAAAAGTTCGGTGTAGTACAAAATATCTGCACATAGTTCATGAGCAGAGACATCAAAACCCCTAGCTTAAGAGAGTTTTCTGCACCAACTGACAACTGCATAACGAAGAGGCGTCTGCTTTTTGTCAGACATATACAGCACAAATTCCGTAAGTCGGAGAAGGAGAATGAAAAAATCGAACAAATTTCCATTAGTAAACACCATGTTAGCTGTAGGCAAAAGTGCAGAGTGTTAATCTACCTAGCAGATGAACATCGCTAGTGAACGTGCTTAACAATTATAAAAGCATGCAATTTTTAATCCACAAAGCTGATAGCACGACTGGGTTGCTACGGCGAAGCTGATCTCCATTAATCAGTGTGTTCTAACGGTTTATAATGGTACGCTTTGGTGAAAAATGGGCCAACGCAAACATGGTAACCAATAAAGATGCCGAAAAACAAAAGAATGGAGAGATTGGACCAGGTACAGCTAATAGGCTAAGCGCAACAAAACGACTTCACTGCGATGGTTTAACCAGTTGTACACTGACTCCAATGAGTTCCGATGTTATGATGAGGGTGAGCGATTGCACAAGCTCAAATTCAAAGCCATCTCCCTCATTCCAGAAGCAATTGTAGTTCCTAAATAAAAAAAGTTGCCACGCTGTGTTATACAATGTGACGAAAGCAGCACTGCTTTTTAATCGTTATAGCTCACCATGTGACCCGATCAATTGCCAACAATTGGGATTAGGTAGCTATCATTTATAAATGACCCGAGTACAAAGAGAGCGGTCTGTTCGGAAAATGGTTACACTTGTTATTGCCACCCAACAGCATGCAGCCGATGCTAAAAGCAATTAACCGAAGGCTGCCTAAGGACATTCGCTACAAGGTAAGGCTACACGTTTGCTGGCTGCAACGACGGAATACGCTAGTTCGCACTGCTGACCTACTGAACATAAGCGAACAACGTCTTCTAATGGAACGAGGCTGTATGTGCGGTGGCAACATGCTTACACTGAACATGTGTAATAACGAACGCGACACCCTTCACCCATGGATAAGTGCATACAATGGTAGCCACAATGTGTATTATTTGCGTACATTGCACAAGACGGCAGTATGGAGAAACGTACAAGTTCACCATAAGCGTTTTATTCATTGTACACGGCACAATGGGGTTTTTCCTTCATACTTTCTTTCATCCCATCCCTTAATACCCTGGAAGGAAAGACAAATCATATACAGATTATTATCTAGCATTATTCGTGCATATGAGACCACCAGAGCCATGTTGGCCGAATTAACAACTGGTTACACCACCACACCACGCTGAGGAGCGGTTGGCTTTATGCGTAGACGTAAATAGAAGAAGAAATTACATTCGGCTTCATTGTTATATGGCAATGAAATTATTAGTAAAGTGGCGGATATATAACGATATCATTAACGCACAGGCAGCTTAGCAGAACAGGAAAAGACTTTGACATGTCGGAACTGCAAAAGACAACAACCTCACTGCACAGTGACATTTAAATATCTGTTCGCAGAAAAAGCGCTCGAAAACAGTTAGTATGAGGGGCTGCAGAAGACCGCATCGATGATACCAACGCGTGCAATACGAGCACTGAACCCAGTGTATTGTTCGTCCTCGTTTTATTCCGGGTATTGTAAGTCGCATTCTACGCATATACCTACATCGATCACCAAATCTTGCAAATTTGGATTGTTGGTTTGTTCGCCAGCAGTTGCGTTTCGGTGTTCATGCCTTGCGTCTTAAACAGCGGCCGTCGGTTGTGCACCAGGTAGAACTGCTAGTATAGTGCTTTCTTCATCCGAGCTCGCAATTGCCACATTCTATTCATCACTGAAGACCACGTCATCGGTGTTTGACGTGACAATCCCCTCCGGCACTGACGATAGAGGGAGAACTGCAGGGTCCAAGTTCAGAAATGTGGAATCCGGCAGCTGTTTGCATCCGATATGGTTTTTTATTGGTTCCATATCAGATACGTCGCGCTCATCCGTGATACTTGTGTGGCATCCCACAATCCAGTCCGCCCATTCAGTAGTTCCATCTTTAAACGGCGATGCATGAACACTAACATATTCGTGTCGTGTATGCCGTATGTTGTACACCAGTCATCCTGCTGTTGGCTCATTACAGGCGTTGGGAAGAATGACAAACTTACATAATGGAAGAAAGGTTGATCATTAGTACGAATAAGTTCCAAATCAGCTAAATATTTCCCAACTTTGCACGTGTACATTGCGAGGTAAAAACGTCTGAATGTAGAGGATTGGGGAAAAGTTTGTTAGTATTTCTAAATATATGAATGCGACATAAGAAATGATGGGCAGAAGGAAAGACATTATGTGCAGCGTTCGCAATGGACAGTGCACCATCGGACATGATGCACTTGACACCAGAAGCACCACCTACAAACTCCATAAATATGAGGAAGAAGGTTCTGAGGTCAGTCTCCGTCTCCAGCCAGAGAAAATCAATGGTAACCAGCAGACATTTTCGACAGTCATCTACTTTGAGCATTTGGTTTAAAAAGCATCTCTGTTGCTTGGTGGAGAAGGTGCTATTAATAAGCAAAATGTCGGGAAACCAGAAGTAGATAACGTCCACGTACTTGACGTGCTTTTCGTCGACTTTGCGAAGGCATTTGACAAGGTACCCCATTTCAGGCTCGCACAGGAGCTGACCTCCTACGGGGTGTCTGGTCGCGCCCTACATTGGGTGACCGGCTTCTTGGATGGTAGAAAACAGTGTGTACGTGTAGGCATTGGTATATAGTTTAGGCAGTCTGTACTCAGTGGCTTGCCGGAAGGCTCGGTCCTTGGACCGTTGCTGTTCTCTATCTCTGTGAGTGACCTACCCGCGGATTTTTGAGGTACCAGCGCTGATATTTGCTGACGACCTGAAGCTGTGGAACATTGTCAATGTTCCTGGGGGTTCCGTAGCTCTTCAGCTAGCATTGGATAAGTTTTGGGACTGGTCTACTTTACAGTTGTTGACCATAACGCGGGCAAAATGCTGCGTTCTTCGAATCGGAGGAGGTTGTCCTCATGCGAAGTACTTAGTTGATGGGGTCGAACTCCCCCGTGTATCAAGCCAAGTTGATCTAGGCGTCGTACACTCTTCGGCTTTACA